GACCACCCTCAAGTCGCGCGCCACCTCGGCTCCGCTCCCTCCCAGCCCCTCGCAGCGTTGGCCCCTCCCCCGCCAGCCCCCCAACTTCGAGTCCGTCTCTCCCGCCTGAGCCTTCCTCTTATAACCGCCACCCGAGTCCTGGCTGCCGGGTTCGGGGCTTCGCCTCTGACCGGCGGAGATCAGGGGCAGAAGGGGACTTCTCCGCGCCGCAGGTTTCGGGGCACCTGGGTGATTCCAGGCGAAACGCCTCTCGGGGAAGGGGAGGGTGCCCTGCCAGAGGGCGGATGAGACGCCTTCCCGGGTCCCCGGGGGCCTTATCTCAGTGTGTTGGGGAAAGGGTGTCTCTGGTGTCCACCAGGTCCCACCGCTGCCCATGGGAGACAGAACTCACCTCCGCGGGTCCAGATGCAAAGCCAGGCGTTACCTGTGACGTTACTCCCCATCCTCGAGGTCCCCCCTCCTCCCTTGCCCCCATGAAATAAGTGGTGATCTTTGTTCTTCCAGGGACCAAGACTTTGTCTCCCTCAGACTGAGGCTGAGGAGGGTCTGGGGTGTCACTCACCTCTTGGCCCGGTCACTGAGCTAGAAAGGTCCGGGGAGGAAAAGGCTGGAACCGTCCGTCTGTTCAGTTTCTGCCAAGGTTGCCCCTCCCCCACTCCATATCAGTCAGGTCCCCTCCCCACAGCGCCCTCTGCTGGGGTCGGCCCTGGACTCCCAGGCTGCAGCAGAAGGTTCCCTCTGCCTGTTCCTGGGATGCTGCTCCCAACACCCCTCAGGCCACTCAGCTCACCACCCTTCCCCAGGACCCACTCCCTACCTTGGATGCCCTCCCTGCTCAGCTTATGAGACTTGGCTGAGCGTCCCTCCTCAGAAGTAGCCAGTGGGGTTGGGCTGCTTGCCTGGCCCTGGGGTGAGCACTTCCAGAGCCTCTGCTCCCATTTCACAGATGGAGAAACTGATGCATAGAGTGACTTGTCCAAGGACTCCTGAGAGCACTGGAGTTGTGACTTGGACCTTGGGCCACATCCTCTCCCCATCCCTGTCCTGTGCCCTGAGACAAGGGGCAGAGCCAGCCACCTTTATTGAATCCGAAGCCTGAAGCCAGCACATGACCAGTGCCCACAACCCTTACACCTGCCAAGGCCAAGTGGACCTGTGGTATTAGAGTGGTTTCAGGTGATGCCAGAGACTCTCTTCTTGAAGCTCAGCCTTAGGAGCCTGAGAACCCACAGGGGTGGCCAGCTACTGAGTAGTGGTCAGACGAAGGGACCCTCGGGGATTATCAATATGGATGCCCCAACCCCACCCAAGTGCCTTGTACCTTGATCAGAAGCACGGCACTGATGGCGGTCACCATGGCAAAGGGGAAAGTGAGAGGAACATGAGTGAAGTCCAGGAGAGCCTATATATCCAACGTGTCCTCTGGCTGGCGTCAAGCCCTGGAGACCTGAGCCTGGCTGTCCTCTGGGTGGGATCTGAGTCTGTCTCCTTCCCTGTATCCCAGATTGTGTGCTGTCTGCAGGCCTGCCTTTCCTGCACCACCACCACCACCAGAACTGGCTCTTGGTCATGCATTCAGGCAAGGACCCTTCCTCAGTGGCCTCCCCTCCATAGCCAGGTACCTTGGAACCAGTGCCAGACTCACACCAGGCTCATGGTCAGCCCCAGGTGGGAAGCCCATATCCAGGTCATGATGTGCATCAGCCACGGTTGCCCCTGGAGGAAGCGATCTGCCCTCCCCAGACACATGGTGCAGTGAGGGCCATGCTGCAACGGCCGTTTCCCACCCATTTCCCAGGAGCAAAAACAGACTGGAGCCAATGGGACCCTGGGCTGCATGCATGGAACACAGGAGAGCCAGACAGGGCTCTGTGGTGATGCCACTGTGGTGACCCTGGCTTTGGTCTGCTCAGGGTCAGCAGAGCCACAGATTGGAGAGGACTGGCTGGAGGACAGGATCTATGGGTTTGGCTCCCCAGTCCTCACTCTCACTGAAGGTCTGGCCAGTAGGGGTGGGACTTGGGGTGTGGTCCAGAGCAGCCTGAGGTCCAGGGGAGCCTCCCCAGGGGCTCCCCTACCTCTGTGAAGAAAGAGGATGACAAACAGAAAAATGCCCAGAGTCTAGAGCCCCTGCACAGGCACCTATGGCAATGCCCACAACCACCTCCGCAGGCTGGCTCAGAGATGACCCTGAGAGATGGCCATGAGGGGGCGCCCAGCAGGACACACCTCCTCTGGCATCCTCATTTCTGTCTGGAGGCATAATCTCAGAGACGACCACAAACGCAACCCCAACTAGTCCTCCTAGGAGGGGCCCAGGCAGGTGCCTGAAGAGTCCATAGCCCATACAGGAAGCAGGGTAGAGCAGAGGACAACTTTGGTGCTGGAGGAGCACACTAGGTCCACCCAGCAGGGTGCGGGAGGCTGTGCATGAGACAAGGACAGTGGCTACAACTGTGACATAGATGGAAACACAGCTGTGATATCTACTCAGACGTTGACACTGAGGAGCAAGGAAGGTGTAGGGCCCCCACACAAGGACTGTGATACACGGGAGCACAGGGTCCAAGCACGTGGACTGGGAAAGAATGCAGTCTGGGAGATGGGAGCCCTGTAAGTCTGGTCTCCTAAGTTACAAGGAGGCTGGTGATGGTTGGAGCTGGAGGTTCCCACCCGGTTGTTTCCTCCTAGGAGTTTTGACCTGCCACTGCCCACTCCCCCCTGACTCTGGGTCTCCTGGACAAAGCCTCCCCATATTGCCCATGGTTCAGCCGAAAATTAAGTACATGGTGTACTTTTTATCTAATGCATAATAAATATCCCAAGTTGATAATGGGCTCACTCAAAAGAAAGGCAAAGATTACCACGCATATGATCAAATTTATTGTTGACTAACAAGTGAGAAAACCTTTTTGACAAGATTAATATCTGCAAGAATATTTGAACAAGAGAAAGTGGGACTTGGTATAAATAATAGCCCTGAGATAAAACACATAATAGCAGATTTAAAAACAACTAATGGATGAGTCAAATATCCACTAAATTTGTGACATGATAATTGATTTAATAAGTGTAATGAAGTTCACTCTGCAGATTTTTTTTTTTTTTCTTTCTGAAATTCACTGATGTTGGAATAATTGCTTATTGGCCACATTCTCAGTGGCAGAATGGCAGGGTCAAGATCTCCTCTGGCTTGGGGTTCATGGAGGAAGGGGAGAAAGAAGGGGCTGGGGTGGGCTCCAATCACAACCCCACTCCTGGCCTTGGAGCCTCCATGAGTCCAGCTCTTATTCCCTTCAGTCTGTCCAGACAGTTATCAATCCTCCCTCCACTTCCATCGATGTGCCTTCTACTCTGCCCTTTGTCCTCATGGGCATGTAGCGTTTCAATTCACATTTATATTTAGGAAATACTCCCACTCGTTCAATGAATTTGCCATTTCATCTAAGTTATCAGGTATGTTGGTGTGAGGTTGTTAATAAACGAGGGTCATTATCTTTTCAATGTTTGAAAGGTTTGGTAGGAATGTGCTGTCTCTCATTTAATTTTAATCAGTCCAGCTACATTTTATTCCGTTTATTCAAAGAACCAGCTTTTCATTGGTTTTTCTCCTTGTCCATTTCAGTGGTCCCTACTCTTATCTTTATTATTTCATTATCTGTACCTATTTTGGGTTTAATTTTCTTTGTTCTCTTTGTTTTCTTAAGGTGGAAACTTAAACTTTTCTAATATAAGCATTTAAAATTATAAATTTCCCTCTCAGGTTGCTTTGGCTGCATCCCACACACTCTCAGGTGTTCTCGTTTTCATTATCTTTCAGTTCAAAACAATTCATAATTTCCCTCGTCACTTCGACACACTGTTTATTTAGAAGTGAGCTGGTTAATCTCCTAATTTGGGGGGGGAGTGTCCAAATATCTTTGCTATTTATTTCAGTTCTGTGGGATCAGGGAACATAATTTGGCACCGCTGGGGATGGCGTGGGCCTCTGCCCCCATCAGCAACGCAATGGACGGGCTCCTGCGAGCGACGCGCCACC